TGACAGTAGTGTCCTCCTCACAGGAGGACTATAGTGCAAAGAAACTGCTGCTCACTGCTCACTGCTGCTCACTGCTGCTCACTGCTGCTCACTGCTGCTCACTGCTGCTCACTGCTGCTCACTGCTGCACTGCTCACAGCTGCTAACTGCTGCTGTCGCGTGTGCGCCCATAGCAGCAGTGAGCAGCAGTTAGCAGCAGTTGAATTGGGGCGGCTCAAATTAACACACGAAATCAATGTTTAGAGCCGCATCAATTCAGAGCCATGCCAATTTAGATGTGAAGGACACACTGTTACAATTCAAGAAAGTATAATACCACACCTCTAATTTAAGTGTAATAAACTCGTGTTTCTTATAACTAGGATAGTCTACCATTTATTATCTAGTTAATTGGGAACAAGATACAATTTATAATTACAAAATTAAGCCCCATTATGTAATGATGATAAATCTCTAACTCAAAATACATCAACTTTTGTGACAATGAAATGAGGTATTTATATCCCGCTCATATGATTAACCAACAACACAAGGAAGCTGGTTAACCATGTCAGAGCGGCTGATTGTGAGTGATGTGAGCAAATGTGTAAAAATGAACAAAAGCATAACTCATTATAAGGCTAAGACAAAATTAAAACATCTTTTATTGTAAACCACACTAAACTAAAAAGAAGCAGAAACCATACAATACATGTAGGTAAGAATCATGGAATTTCCAAACTTCTTGATTTGCACAGAATGCTAGACTTCCTTGCCGACCTTGGGTCAATGTGAAAAATAGATTTAGATATAATGCTGTATTATGGCCTTAAGGTGAGAGTTCAAGAAAATCATGAGACGATGAATTACATCCAAGCCCCTTTGAGTGTTATTGGAGGTTCATCTCTTAATTCGTTCACTGACACTGTCTTCTCGTTTTTGAATCTTGTCGTACTGATGTGAGTTTTCAGTCCGAGGTGAGGTTCAGGAATACTTCTCTTATTTATTGAAGGAGATCCTGCTATCCTTACACTGGTTGCCGAAACTTTGCACAATTCGCGCTTGCTCTTTCTTGAAAATCTGTATTGTATCTGGGTAAAGTACTTGCTTAAATATTAATGGAATAGATAATAATATTAATGTAAAATTGAGTGGAAAAGGTGAAATGTTTGTGTGAGCAGAACTAATGAAAAAATTTAATATAATAACCAAAGTCAGTGGGATGAGTGTCAAGCTTGTCAAATACAATGAAACGAGTTGATATGATGAAATAGGGTAATCCGATGTATCGTTATATAATCATTACAAATACATAGTACTTCCTAGATGGGAGTGATGGTTAATCTTAAGGTAAAATGTATTGTACTAAAATATAATATATAAATGGCCCCTGACAGGGGTCATAGAATCACCAACATAATCTGAAAATCTAGGTAAGTACTCATCATAACTATAGCACTGGTTTGTGGAAGGCAGGCATGGCTCCACCGTGTAGGTGAAGGTGGGTGCGCACCCACCCAAAGGATGTTGCACCCACTCAGTTTGGACTTGCACCCACCCAAACGATTTGAAAATTTGTCCACCAAAATTGTCAAATTTTGTATAAATTACGGGTCAATTCAATCTTCTGACTTCTAGTCAATTGAGACTGTTTTAGAGATATTGAAATACGTTTAGGAGGGTAAAATTCCAAAATTTTCCAGGGGGCTTCACCCCCCCCCCCCCCCCCTGCGCCGCGCTGCACCCACCCAAAGATTTTGAGCTGGAGCCATGCCTGGTGGAAGGTAAATGTGGGGTAGGTTGCCCTGATATTCATAATACCTCAGCATAAGATAAAGTTCGGGGCTTCCTTTCGATTTGCCTGTTTGAGTTACTTGTAGTTTTAGCACACAGGTATAGTAAAAACACTGAAATGAGAAATTAATCAAAGGCTACTTAAGCTAGGTAGGGCAAAATTTCGTCATAAGCTTTTTAAATATGGCAGTATTGAGATAATTATAAGTGATGTGTTTCATCATAGCAAATAAAACAGTAGTTTATTTGATAACACAGACACAGTCAATCATGTGTTATCTGCTTGAGAACAATCTTTTATTGAATCTTAGCTCAGTTTAAAAGAATCAACATAACTTTACCTGAAAGAACTCCTGAGAATGTAAGGAAAAATACAAGTATCTGATTGTTTTGAATATGAGTCTCTGACATTCAAGGTGTCCTGTTTCCCGTTGCAATTTTCACAGGCACATGTTCTGAAAAAGTCCATTATATATCAGAGTATAGTATAAACTGACGACAAAAAAAAGTTAGTTTTATTGTATTGGCAAACAGCTCTTGTAAGTTTGTTGTGAACAGTTTTGGTAAATTATGCAAGACAAACCTATATAACTGGAAGGTTATCCAATTGTTGAAAAATTGTGATTTTTAGACTTTTAATATTGAACGATTAAAATGATTCTACAGCTGCTTTGGTTTTTATGTTTGATGGAAGTGGCCAGGACCCATCTGATGGTCATGTCATGGACTTCACCACTGGTTGGGTGGACGATGTCTTCATTGGAACCTACACTCACTCTCTAACATAAGATTATCTCAACATATTTATGTGCAGCAGTTCATTAAAATTGGAGTTAAACTGAAAACTTTGGGCAAGATATATTATAATATACTGAGCTAAACCTCTAAATTTGTGCAACAAGACACATCAAAATATAATGCAGGTTTTTGTAGTGTCAAAAAGGACAAACCTTATGAGTTATGATACCTAGACATATAGTAAAAGAAAACCTGGCCTGGGGTGCAATGAAAAGGGGTTTGTGGGCAACGGCAAACCAGATTCGTGGAATAATACAAATTGCAAAACTTAGTGACGAAATACAAGTAGATTGCTGATTGTTAATTTTAGAATCGATAAGAAACAGAAGTTCAGCATGTAATTTGAAACTTTACATCATCACTGATGCCTTAAAAAATGACAGCCTATAGGCATCCGTACAGTATAATATCTCAAAATTTGATATCGTATCTCCTTATTTGTTACCATGGCACCTGAGCCCTGAGTGTTACTTAAGACCTAGTTTCTAGATTCTATTTAATTGAATCAAATTTGGTTCTGCTCCAGTAGTTTTAAAACTCGCTGGAAATTATAAAGCGATAAAATCTGTTATCTGACAATTTTGTTGTATCGGATTATATCTGAATTAATGTATTAATTAATGTCTTAATTATTCTATGAATTGCTATTGTAATCTAGTATAATTCCCAGAAGAAAAACAATCAGACAATTAATATTTGAAAATCAATCATTTTACAGCTATGAGAAGATCAAAACGTGTTAGTTTTCACCAAGAAGTGACGGTAAAGGAATTCATCAAGAAACAAGGTAACAGTTCCGTTGAATCAGACATAAGCTCCCCTGACTTATACCGAGCGCCCATAAACCACCGTGGCCAGGACATTGATGGCCAAGTTTCTGGTGATGATTCATCCATGGAGCTGACAGAAATATTTTCCAAGTCCAATAACTCGGGGATGAGTTCAGATGATTCTAACATGGATTTGACTGATGTTAGTTTACCAGGCGCGGGCCAGGGCGAGCTAACAATGATGATAAACAAAGATAAAAGAGAGTATGCTAACAATATGTCGCTGTTGGGAGACTGCACTGAAGTTGTGAACTCTAAAGCGGTTGCTAATGAAATGATCTTTGACAACCTGGATATTAGCCTGAATACAACTTCAAAGGGATGGAACCTCGACTCTTTAGCCAGAAAAATGCTTCCAGGGAACGCAAATTTCAACAATTCTATAAATGTGTCCCACAACTTATCTCATAACGTCTCTCACAACGTGTCTAACATGTTAGATGAATCTGAAAGTTCATCTGTTCGGAGAAGTCTTCGAATTGCCAAGCGTAGCAGTGAAGGAGGAGACACTCCCCAGTTTAAAACACCTCAAGTCAATCTGCAGAAAAAGAAAAATAAGGGAGGAAGTCTTTCGAGATCTAAACAGAAAAAGAATGTTTCTCTACTGAGTAGTGCTAATTCAACTTATTCCAGATCCTTTTCCAACGTCTCCAAAATGCCATCCATAAACCTACTTGAAAATTCTGGTGAGGGTTCTGAAATTTCGCTGCTATCAAATAACGAGAGTATCGCTGAAAATCAGGCTGTGGAGAAGCAAGAAAGACACAGCCAACTCATCCAATTAAGAGACGAAAAGTTGGCAGAACTGAAAAAGCAAGACGCAGAAATTGTTATGTGGGAAACGAAGATCAAAGAGGTCGAAGAAAAATTGAGAATGACTCAAAAGTCACGCCCTCACCCCTATACAGTGGAACTTTTAGAGTTGCTCGAAGGTTGAATCTTTTAGTTGATAAGATTTGAAGTAATTGATGCCAAATTGAAGAAAAGCAACGAAAGATGGACGGTCATATTTGTGAAATACATGACGTGATCATATTATTGTGATGAGCCGTTACTTATAGCTCTCTTTTGTTACATGACATTCGCAATATCTTGTCTCTATATTATGACAATCATTACGCTGTATCATGTTTACTTGAAGTAGAAATTTTGAACATTTCGTTTCTTTTTGTCTGTGGATTCTTTTCGGTTTTTATCATGTCAATTAGCAAAATGCATACCACCTAAAATTATTTGCTTTATTTTCATGACGTCGAATGCTTACATGTTTTAATTTGTAGTAAAATTGATCTTGGATTTAGTCATTTTGATATTAAAATGTTAACGTTTTTAATGTCATCCTGTGATTTCAATTCAATTTTTAATTGTAAATTAATTATTAATTGGAGTTTATAAGTTCGAAATTATGAAACATTTTCCTTCTTCAACATGTCCTAACTATTTAATCTCATTAGCACCAATTGATGATTGGTTATAACACCGATCTGCTAAAATCGCTTAACCAGAAATTATTTGAACTTGAAGAGTAGCCGATACATTTTCATTTCCTCACGCAATTCACTTGAAATGAAGTTTTTATACCCATTTTACACTAGGGAACACACAGATATGGTCATGACCGTGCAAATAGGTGCTGAGTGTTTTGGACCGCCAAAACATAAGTACAGTCCTGTACGAAACAGTTTGGAGTACACTTCTGATGATGAAGGGGAGTTCAGTGATGAAAGTAGAGGTTCAGGTATGTCTGGTATTCTGGCCCAAATTTAAAACTCTGACACGATCATGTAAGACCTTGAAGTCAACTTATACACCTTTTTTTTTCTCTACTGACAGCAGGATCATTCGAAACTCGTGTAAATAAATCAAATGTTAATCACGTGTTAATCACGTGATAATCACGTGTTCACATTTCCAGGATCACGTAACCACCGGTTGTTCGATGCCGAGCTGTTTCAGCACTATGTAACAGCATGCGGTAACCTCATCATCAACTACATCCCTCCTAACCTGACAGAGGAGGAGCTGCTCAACTTGTTTAAGACTGAGGGACCTGTGGAGAATGTTAAGATTGTCAGGAAGAAACCTGAGGGTCACAGTCTCGGTTACGCTTTTGTTAAGGTAGGCTCACTTGACTGATATCGATTGAAAACGTAAACAGTTCAACTGTATTTTAAGTGTTTTGTCATGATTGGAGTTTATTTAAATATTGCTGCGCCATTTTAAAGTTGCACTTAACGATCTGTGGATGACAAATTGCTCGGACTAAATCAATCCACTGTTACAGTACGTCTGTCCCGGTGACGCTCAGAAAGCTATCTGTAGATTTAACGGTTACCGACTCCAAAACAAGGTGACTCATTACAGAATACTAACATGCTAACATGCTAACATGCTAACGTTAACTTAAAATGCCTTGTTAAAACATATTATCTTACTGAACTAATCTAACCATAACTTAGACCCAGTTCCATAATACAAGGTGCTTGATTAATTGATACAACCAAGTTTTAGCATCAGCTATAATCTATATCAGCTGAACTAATCCTACTTGCAGATATTGAAAGTGAGCGTGGCACGGCCCTCCTGCTCGGAGATAAAGGACGCTAATCTGTACATCAGTGGGATACCCAAACATCTCACACAGGCTCACCTTCACGGCACTTTCTCCGCATTCGGCACTATTATCAACTGTAAAATCATCACCGACAAGTAAGACCTGTTTTAAAATTGGCGTTTAGTTCACCGTGTCCCATGCTTAGGCCTAGGGTTCGTTCACATATATTACGTAATCAACCGAGGGGAGAAGGGGAGCGGGGCGGGGGGGGGGGGGCAGGGGGTTACCAAATGATTACGCTAGTGTAACCTGGCACAATAGCTATGTGTAAAACTGATTACGGAGGGGGGGGGGGGGGGTTAATATAATGTGAACAACCCCTTAGAGTTCGCTAGGGATTCTTTATTTTTAAAGCTCTTCTTGGGTTGTAGTAGCCTTGTTCGGACAACTTGTCCAGGTACAATTTTTGTAGGAACAATGATCGTACAAATTTATAACAACCTTACCGTTTTTAAGCAACGGCCAGAGTAGAGGAATAGGATTTGTTCGATACAACACAAAACAGGAAGCACTGGCGGCCGTGCAGAACTTAAACAGACAGATCCTTCCTGGCTCCTCAGTTCCGTTACAGGTACGGATCATGTTCCTGTTAAGTTTACCTGTTGGCTGTTGTTCCAGTTATTTGGAAAGTGGTTTGTTGATTCCGTCATCAATCCAATAAAATTTGATTAAGCTAAGCTAATTAATCTGACTAATTATAATAATGATTGATTAATGACCTATTACTCGGCAGGTGAAGCTGGCCGAGAAACCGTCTCACCGTAACGTGAAGAGCGGCATGTATGATGAGATGCAGAAGTTGCTGTCTACCTACAAGCTGGACTCTAATAACAACGTTCATCCTGTTGTCACTAATATTCTCAAGCAGTACTTTCCCAATGTCGAGTGAGTTCTAGTTCATTTACTCATGTTTATAAGTTACGAGCGACTCTCACTAAGATTTCCAAATCTGAGAACAATGTACAGTAACCCATTACATCCTATTTAAATGTTAACAAATATTACATTTTCAGAGAGGAAGGTAACGAGATGGAACAAGGTCGTCCTGAACACCTGACTGCTCCTAACTCCGTGTGTTTGTACGTCTACAACTTACCTCCAGAAACTGACAGAGCTTTCCTTTTCACGGTCAGTTATCTCCTGTTTTAGCTGGGTTTTATACATAAATAGTGAAGAACTGAAGATGTTAATTGCATTACTCAGCGGGTTATTTGTATCATTTGAAAGTTTTAATAACAGTTCGTAGATTAGCAGTTCACGTATTCCATTACAATTCACATGACCCCCCCCCCCCCCCCCGGCACCCCTCCAATCATTCTATACTATTTGTCAGCTGTTTAAAGATTTCGGTGAGATCGCCTCGGTGCGCCCCATCATCCACTACCCTACCATGCAATGCAAGGGATTTGGGTTTGTGAACATGAAGCACCATTCTGCTGCTACCCTTGCTATCCACTCTCTGCACGGCAAGATCATCAACGGGAAACCACTCCAGGTTTCTTTCAAGAAATAAACTGAACATTTTGATTTTAGTGTGTCTTTTAAAACTTTATTTAAGATTTATTCAAAATTTGTTCAATTTATTTAGGGTTAAAACTTAATTAAAGATAGGTTTTTGTAATTATAACTTAATTTTCGACTTTCTGTGAATAGAATAATGGGTTATATAGTATATACTATATGGTTGTAGTAAAATTGTTCGTAGAGATTCTTTGTTAAAAGTATTTTGGGGATTATCGACTCTCGATTATAAATTGTTTCCAAAAATTCGATAATATCCTGACTTCATTAAATGATAATGATATATAAATAGTCAACAATCAGTGGTCTTTTTAAGATATTATTAAGAGAACGGTTATTTAGTGCTTCTTTTAGTCCTTATTTTGAGATTTCAAAACATTGCAACTGTTCTTTTTATACTTCCTTCATTCACAATGTATCTATTTTCCAGTTGATTGACACTTCACAGTCCAAATTTTAAAAATGATTCACTGTCACAGTCCAGATTTTTAAAATGATTCACTGTCACAGTCCAAATTTTGTAAATGATTCATTGTCACAGTCCAGATTTTATGCCGTTTTCTTGTATTTTAGATGATTTTATTTCCAAGTCCTATTGTTGATTTTTCACAAGAATTTTAATCATACATTTTAAATGGAATTTTTTGCTTTACCATAATACCAAGTATGTAAATTATTCATCAATGTTACGTTGAATATTGACCTTATGCTTAATGCTTAATCGTAAAACAAATTTAATAAAATTGTTTTGAAGGAGCAGTATATTTAACTTGAATGGTGTAATTGGAATTAATTTTGTGAGGGAAACTTTAATTTAAATAAGGGATTATGATTATTGTTAAATCTACGTTTGTTAGTGTAAATTTGGTGTGAAGTTTGATGTTCAAAAGTATGTTTTCAATATGTTATAAAAAGTTTACGTTGTAAAATTGTTTTTCAAATTGCATAGAATTGTGGGTCATAGACTTCCCATGTCTTAACATGTCATAACCATGTCACAACCGTGTCTGACATGGTTATGACATGGTTATGACATGGTTATGACATGGTTATGACATGGTTATGACATGGTTATAACATGGTTATGAAATGGTTATGACATGGTTATGACATGGTTAAGACATGGTTATGACATGGTTATGACATGGTTATGCCATGGTTATGCCATGTTTGTGACATGGTTAAATGATATGGTTCTGACATGGTATTTCTAGTCTATGACCGATTTGTGAAGGGCGATGATAACTTATTTATTGTTTCATCAGACATTATAATCGATCGAAATTGGTAAGGTATCAACCGATCAACACCCTTTCACCAATCTAATTTATATCATATTACCGTGCAGTGCTGTGTAGAAGGTTTTTAAAATACCTTTTATTGAGCCGTACGATAAGACATGTAGATAAAATCCCGCCGGTTAATAGCACTTAAAAAGCATTGCGATATGATTGTAATTTGATCGAACTTCTTGACCGAGGTTTCTTTTATTATAAGACTTTTATTACTGTATAAGATTAAGACTGTTATAAAAAAGTGACAATCGTTTTTTGTCTAGGGGATCGTTAACATAATAAAAATGTAGAGGAAAAGTGGTTAGACAATTTTGATAATGAAGTATAATGTTAACGATCACCAGGTTTTACTAATATAGTAAAACACGAAGATCATTTATCTTAATTTTGATTGTCAAATGTTAAAAAATTAATAGGATTTCTAATTAATATTTAGGTTTTGATATAGAGAGGCAAAGAAAGTTTTTAGGTAGATTGTGTTAACAGCACAATTTACATCAGCATTATTAGGGCCCAATAAATGAGGCATTAAACGATGGTTCACGAAAGTGTATCTCCAAAATAAAACCTATGTATGGATATGTTTCAAGGATAAATTAGGAGATATTATTGCTGGGTACAATTTTATTATTATTATTGATTTTGGGGTTTTAAGTATTAAATTAAGTTCTGCAAGAAGGAGATTCTTATCTTGGAGGAATTATAACAACTATTTTAAATTAATTATTAATTTGGGTAATTTTGTTTCCCAAGATCTGTTATATTTAATGACTTATTTCAAAATGCAGATACTATATTATGATTTCTCAAATAAATTGGGCGTGGAAAGCAATGATATATTGTAAATTTGCGGTTAAGAAACTTGGATCTTGTTTTTATAATGTGTTGTGTTTTTTTCTTTCTTGTTTTCTATATACATTGTTTATTATTATTATTATTATTAATTTAAATTGTGTTCCTATGGTCCTTATTTGATCTTTTTAATGAAACATTTGCGTTTTTCTTTGATTGCACAATTCATCGATTTCAACTCAAAATTGGTTAAACTGAGTTCAGTCTCTGACTTAATTCTAAATGTTCAGAAATCAATAAATTCAAAGCCTTATCTCTTCTCACAAATCGAAACTTATTCTGTTATCTTATTCTTAACGAGATGGAACAAGGTCGTCCTGAACACCTGACTGCTCCTAACTCCGTGTGTTTGTACGTCTACAACTTACCTCCAGAAACTGACAGAGCTTTCCTTTTCACGGTCAGTTATCTCCTGTTTTAGCTGGGTTTTATACATAAATAGTGAAGAACTGAAGATGTTAATTGCATTACTCAGCGGGTTATTTGTATAATTTGAAAGTTTTAATAACAGTTCGTAGATTAGCAGTTCACGTATTCCATTACAATTCACAAGACCCCCCCCCCCCCCCCCCCCGGCACCCCTCCAATCATTCTATACTATTTCTCAGCTGTTTAAAGATTTCGGTGAGATCGCCTCGGTGCGCCCCATCATCCACTACCCTACCATGCAATGCAAGGGATTTGGGTTTGTGAACATGAAGCACCATTCTGCTGCTACCCTTGCTATCCACTCTCTGCACGGCAAGATCATCAACGGGAAACCACTCCAGGTTTCTTTCAAGAAATAAACTGAACATTTTGATTTTAGTGTGTCTTTTAAAACTTTATTTAAGATTTATTCAAAATTTGTTCAATTTATTTAGGGTTAAAACTTAATTAAAGATAGGTTTTTGTAATTATAAAGCAATGAAAGGCATTAGTTTGGTCAAATCAAATGGAACATATGCTATCAGACTTTCAACTGACTATGGCAGGGTTAAAACAGTTTTAACGCTAGCAACGATCCCCTTTTACATAGTTCCACTAAAATGATAATTTAAGATTAAATATGTATACTGTATAGTGATAGGTAGATAAAGTAAAATGTGTAATAAAACGGTAGGAATAAAGTATACTAAGTAAACGTAGTCAACACGTCATACAATGAACTGACCCAAACTACAATTACTCCCGCGTAATTTCCCGCGTAATCCTAGAACTCCGATTTGCGCCGCCGCAAAGTTATTATAAAACTAAATTCAACACGTGCGACAAATATTTCGTAACATTAGAAAAGGATGCCATAGGTCAGGCTATGGCATTAATATATTTCCACACCCAATACCAAACTTATTCTTTAGCCCATGCCTCTTTACCACTGATAAGTATATTTTACTAAGACGATCCCGTCTAAAACCCAACTCAATTAAATCATCAGTAAACTTCAAAACCTTATCAGAAAAAGCAACAACGTTATTACATATCCTAGAATATCTCACAACCTGTGAACAGTACGTGCCATATAATACACTACTAGCTTGATTACTCATCAAAGGTTGAAACTTGACCACTTTAAAACCAAACTTATCCCTTTTATCATAAACTCTACACGAAAACTTCCCCTCGCTATTTATCGAAATATCAAGATCTAATACATTGGCGGCACTATCTACTTCATTTTCCTTATTAAGAGTAAGAGAGTCTGGATATATTAACTTAAAATATTCCTCTAAGTAACCATCAGAGTTAAGGGTAGTAATATCATCTATAAGTCTAAATGTATTATTTAACTTCTTTACAATATAGTATCTACTTTTATACGTACTGTCTAGGAAACTGTTCTCAAAATACCAAAGTGTTAAGTTAGCAATATATGGACCAGGGTTGATTCCAATAGGTACACCGATATGTTGCCGATATAAGATCTCTCCTACTTTAAAGTAACAATTATCCAGTAGAAACTCAACACATTTAATCAACTTAACTTCATCAAAAGCCACAGTCCCATCTCTAAAGCTATTAACCCAAGCAGACCCTTTATCGTAAACAGCTATAAACTTCTTTTTACTATTCCTAAAGGCTAATTTAACAGTAAACTTGAGAGCATCCTTGATATCTTTATGGGCTAAATTCGTGTATAAAGTAGAAAAATCAAAAGTTTGGATGTTTCTCGCTAAGCTATTATCATTAATTTTATCTAAAGCTTCTAAAATCGGCTTATTATTCAAAATGACCCAATTCCTATTAACTCCTGTTACTTTAAACAACATGTTAGTATATCTGCAGATCTCTGAATAAACAGCCTTTAAGGCTAAAGAAATCTTTACTGCCAAGGGCTTAATACTACAATTAGCATAAGAAATAACATACCTAAACTTTAAAATTGGCTTATGAAATTTAGGACTCGAAAACATGTGAGGTAAAATATCAATATTAGAATCTACTTTTATCCCAACGTCTTCTATGAACTTGAAAATATCTCTGTTAATATCACGAACTTCATGCTCCCCACTAACATCATCAATACCCTCATTAGATTGACACTCTTGTATAATATCACTTAAATAATAATGTTTACAAATAATAGCGACGTTCTTAGTTGCTTTGTCCACCGGACATAAAACAAAATACTTTCTGATAAACGCTAATTCTTCACAAGCTTTATCATTACTAAACACAGATTTCCGTTTAAGCTGTTTAGGATATTTCATTTTAAGAGCTTCAGTATTCTTCTTAACAATATCACTAAATTCATTAAACCAACCATTTAAACATGCACTATCGATTTTCTCTTTCCTACTCCAAGGTTTTAAGATTTCTTTAACATTATCTATTACCGAATTACAATTCTTATCAAAATCAATCGTTTTAGGTTCTTTATAAGAAGGACCTTTCTCTAACAGACTTCTCAAGGCGTCGTGCTTTACAAAATTAACATCCCCAGTCACAACATGACCACAATCCTGATTTACGAAATCAGTAAACATATGACATTTGCATTCTAAAGGTTCAGTGTCTCCCTTAACAACGTTATTATAATTAAATAACTTCTTAGAAACATTATCAGTACCTTTATATACAACAGTAGGTTCTTTAATGTTACAAAAATTAACAAACGATTTCAAATTAGGAGATCTAAAAACTCTAGGTAAATTTAACATTTCAATACCCTTGTTCACAAAATCAATAGAACATAAAACTTTAGGCTTACGGACGCTCTTACTTTTATCAGTTCTCGAGTTAAAAGGTCTAATTTTATAAGTGAATAAGTCCATTATAATACAATGTATCTGAGATCTACTAGGGTCTAGGTTATCAATTTGAAAAACTTTATCTAAATAGCTCTCTTTAAGTTTAACGAGTGTAGACTTATTTAAAGGAAACAATAATTTACGTAATAAAATATTAACATCGCTGTGAAATGGTTCAACAACTAAACGTAATAATTCACCCAAAATATTGTCAATATCAAACTGAGATAAATCGCTTTGCTGTCTATCAGCCCAGGATCTCTTTCTAGAACTGTCTTTACAAGAAATAAATTTAGCATATTCACAATTATAACTATCTTTATTAGCTAAACTATCAATCCTATCATTAACCCCATAAGGAAATTGTGTTTTAAGTACTCTGATCCAACGATCTTCATGTCCTTTCCTAATTTTAGAAATAATTTCATCAATAACAAATTTAGTAGAATTAGGACGCTTAACACCAGTTCTCCCATTACCTGCAAGTTTCTGAATAATTTGAACATTAAACGAATTACAATTAATAGATTCTAAAAAATGCTGTCTCAATCTAAAATTTCCCGAATTTCCAGTAGGATTCGTAGTCCCACGGTGTTGCGACATACGATCCTTAAGTTCTTGCACAGTCTCTCCTACATATTGAGAATTACAACATTTACAGCTCAAAAGATAAATAACATTAGTACTTTTACAATTAATAACTTTCTCTTCTCCAACATCAAACTCAAATATACAGTCAAATTTAGTCCCAGATACAGATGACCTAAAGTCCGTACAAAACACCATATCAGCACAGGTTTTACAGCGACGAGAGCAGCGAAGGAAGGACACATCCTGTGACTTAGAAGAAGCAGCAGCAGCAGTAGTAACCATAGACATCAAAACCATCAGAACCAAACCAAAAGACAGGAAGAGAAGCCAGACAACAATGAACCATCCAAATTAACAAACAAATACCAGTCTCCAGAGTTATCCCTTGGCCAGAGAAATCTCTTAAGCACAAGTTCCAACTCCGATGCTTATAAAGCAATGAAAGGCATTAGTTTGGTCAAATCAAATGGAACATATGCTATCAGACTTTCAACTGACTATGGCAGGGTTAAAACAGTTTTAACGCTAGCAACGATCCCCTTTTACATAGTTCCACTAAAATGATAATTTAAGATTAAATATGTATACTGTATAGTGATAGGTAGATAAAGTAAAATGTGTAATAAAACGGTAGGAATAAAGTATACTAAGTAAACGTAGTCAACACGTCGTACAATGAACTGACCCAAACTACAATTACTCCCGCGTAATTTCCCGCGTAATCCTAGAACTCCGATTTGCGCCGCCGCAAAGTTATTATAAAACTAAATTCAACACGTGCGACAAATATTTCGTAACATTAGAAAAGGATGCCATAGGTCAGGCTATGGCATTAATATATTTCCACACCCAATACCAAACTTATTCTTTAGCCCATGCCTCTTTACCACTGATAAGTATATTTTACTAAGACGATCCCGTCTAAAACCCAACTCAATTAAATCATCAGTAAACTTCAAAACCTTATCAGAAAAAGCAACAACGTTATTACATATCCTAGAATATCTCACAACCTGTGAACAGTACGTGCCATATAATACACTACTAGCTTGATTACTCATCAAAGGTTGAAACTTGACCACTTTAAAACCAAACTTATCCCTTTTATCATAAACTCTACACGAAAACTTCCCCTCGCTATTTATCGAAATATCAAGATCTAATACATTGGCGGCACTATCTACTTCATTTTCCTTATTAAGAGTAAGAGAGTCTGGATATATTAACTTAAAATATTCCTCTAAGTAACCATCAGAGTTAAGGGTAGTAATATCATCTATAAGTCTAAATGTATTATTTAACTTCTTTA